CTTTGGGGGAAAATACCTTTTGTTTAATCAGAGAACTTATACTCATCATGTTGTGGCCAAAGGTAGTGAAAATGGAATTATACAGGAGAAACTGCATTTTTATGTTTCTCAGAAAAACAATCCTCTTCACTACCCTCATTTGACAAGAGGCTTTGGAAATATATTTGTAGTTCTTTGCCTGACTTTCGATCCCCAAAGAGCAAAGTAAGAACATGAAGCCGTAACAGAGTAATGTTGGTGTCAGAAACCAGGAGCTGTACTCTTATTTCAGAAGGAAGCTGAGATGGAGGGGCTCTTGGTTTGCACTCAGGTGGAGTGCAAACTGGAGAGACTAGGAGAGCTCTCTATGTTGTGCTTCAGATGGCTGCCCTTTCATTTTCCTATTCCAACTGCTGGAATATGCCCCCTTTGATCACATAGGGCTCTCCTGAAGGCAAGGGGCAAGGAAACACCTCTTCCCTGGGAGCCACAGGTCTTGGAGACTTCAGCAAGCATCAGATGCAAGAAGCTCTGCATCAGTTGTCACAGAAAGGGGGAAGCTGCCCTGGGGCCACTGTGGAACTTCATGAAATCTATCAAACTGAGAAAGCCACAGAAAGTCACAGGACTCGGGACCAAACACTGCTTACAAGGAAATCCCTGACAAGGGCAGAAGTTTGATTGAAAGTGATTTATTTCCACTTCCTCTGTGTTTTTCTTTTTCACAAATTAATATTCTCTGATTTTGTTATTTTATTTTTTACACAAATGTTTACAGCTTGAACTAGACAAGCCCAGAGTATGACATAAAAATCCAACATTTTTGGTTTTTTGGAAACATATTTTTGCTCTCAGTTTCCAGTTTGGCAAATCAACATGTTTTGCTGGAAAAAGTAACCTTATGGCAAAAGTATCTCAATGGGGTCACTGAAGGAAAATCCAACTGGAGATTAAGGCAGTTTGGTGCTAGTTAGAAATAAAAACACTGAAAGGTAAATCTCACTTCTTGTGTCACCTACACACTGGATTTATCTGCTAGAGGTGGAGACCATGAAGATGTTTAAAACTAGCCACAGGTACAACACCTATAAACAAACATTCCTAGAGATTAATAAGAGCATGGATAGCATCACTGTTTAATGACTGATCTTCCCCTGAGGTTAAATCCCCTTGAGGTACATGCCAGTTTTCCCCATCCTCCCCCATTTTCCGTGAGGTGCACCCACGTCCTTGAGAAATAGGATTGTTTTGGAAACAGGTCCCATTGCCTGACTCAGCTCCTTTTGGGGTGCCATGCTGCTAAAGAACTTGCTTTTGAAGGCCCATGAAGCTGTTTTGGGTAGAGGAATGGGTTACCGGGTATGTTACCAACCACCTGAAAGTCATCTCCACAACAGTAAGCACGTGTTTTACCAGGTTCATGGCAGCAATTCCAGTTGAGAACATGCTTGTTAGTCCAGCCAGACTGCTCCAACAGCCAGCTACTGCCAAGGAAGGAAAAGACAATCCATAGCCACTGCTTTCATGCAACAGGGGTTCCTGTGCAGGACCTCACCTCATCTCAGGGTTGAGTCACAACTGTGTGTGAATCATTGCCTTCTGGGGAGCAATATTCCCATGCAAATGGACACAGCCAGAAGTCATTCTCTTTGCTTCAAAAGACACTTTCTAACCTAGCACATTAATTCCAAGAATTTCTTGGTTCTCATCCTGCCACAGAAAGAACCAGGCAGTTTCCTTTCCCATCCTTCTGCCCTCACACAGTCTAACAGGGAAAGAGGAAGTCGAGACTGTGAAATTACATTGAGCAAGATGAAAATCTCCTCAGCCAAAATTAGCACCCCTCTGCAACAAATACTTCCCTCTGCAATTGCGTTTCCCCCCCCTTTCTGGTGGCATTTCCTTGGCAACAGGCCTCCTTACCAGCTAAAGATGCACAACACTTGCTCTGTGCAAAGTTCAGTGGAGGAGAACTAAGGTCATGAGGTAAATGGGAGGTACCTTGGCTACAGCTTTCTAAAATTCTTCCTCACTGGGCTGAAGACATTTTACCCTATATATTGGATATGTTTTCTAAACCTAACTGCATCATATTTATTTGTGCCTAGTCAGGATTATTATTCTCAAAAATTCACTACCAAAAATCACTAAAATCTAGAGGCATTCAAGACTTAAGGAAAAAAATCATATAGAGTAGAAACATAGATCAACTATATGTATACTTATCCGAAGAATTTCTGTGCGGACAGATCATAAATTCCTTCTCCAGTAGGCCTCAGCAGAGGACAGCTTAAGAAAATTACCCATGAGATTTATTATAGCTTTTGGGTTTTTTGGGGGGTTTTTTTGAGGGGGAGCATGGCCACCTGCTGTACAGGACAGTCATCAGGTTGCGGGCCCGGGCTGGGCTGGGCTGGGCCAGGTGGTGACTGGGGGGGCGGGGGGTGGGCCTGAGGGATCCTCGGACCCGCGGGAGGGCAGGTGGGGCAGTCCTGTTTGGAGTAGGGGGCAGGGTGGGACTGCGGGATCCCCAGACCTGTGGGAGGGCGAGTGGGGCAGTCTCGTTTGGAGAGCTATGGGTGTGCAGTGCGGGGGGGGGGGAGGGAGCCTGTGGTGGCATGGCGGGGGGAGGGGGGGATGATTTTGGGGAGGGAGGTTCTGGGGTTGGGGGGTTTGGGCTGGGCTGGGGCTGTGGGAGGTGCCCGAGCCCTGAGTGGGTGCGGGGACCCCTTATCTGTGTGCCCGTCCTGCCCGAGTGTGTGTCGGGACTGCTCCCCCGTTTCAGCATTGTTGCAGTGAGAGTGGGATGTGCTGGGCTTGGCTCGCTTGTGGCTTCTGCCCAGGAATGGTTTGTTTTAAAATTATAGCATCTTGGAAGGGCATTTAGGACAAGGGAATGTCCTTGGGTTGGAGTGTAGGAGGCTGAGGGGTAAAAGTAGGGAGAGAAAAGCTCGTCCAAATCATTTTAGTGGGGGAGAAGCTTGTGTGCCCTTATGAGGTTGCGAGCTGTGCTGGCAGTGGTACATGCCTTCGGTAGGGTCCCCCATGCCAGATAGGTCAAAACTGAAGTGTCAGATAAAATGTGTCCATGGGCAGGATGGGCTCGCTAACCTTCTAGCAGTCATCCTAGGAGAAGGACAACTCTAATTCCAAACATGGGCAGATGGAGTTCACTTAGCCCTGTAAGGCCATCCGTCCAAGAGAAGGATACTCTAATTAAACCCACGTCCTGAGGACTTCACTGTCACCGTCCAAACTTGCTAGGCTCTGGCAGATGAACCTTAGGAGTAAAGGGTGGGACCAGTTCTGCGCATGCTGTGCCTTACCTAAAAAATCCACTGCACAGGCTCGAAGGATATATCCACATCTGTAAGGCCCTGTAGCAACAGGCGAGGGACAAAACAGCAGGTGCACTGGAAGCCCCAGACCCAACCCTGCATGCAGGCAGTTCAGGACCCCGGAGACGACAGCCTTGTTCGGCAACATCCTGAATGACCAAGCAGCCTTTTTCAAGGAGAGCGCTGCCTGCTCCACACGGAATGGGGCCTAGAAAAGGTGGCCTAACCAAAGCTCCTCTCCACCCTTCACCTGGTTAGTTAACCGCAGCCAACGGGCATCTTCTAATGCAGTCAAATAAAGATAAAGAGACAAAGGCATACACCTGCCTTTAAAGGTGTGTTCAAATTGATACTCGCATGCTGGAACATCAGAACCATGTTTAATACTGTGGATAGTGGACATCCTGAGCATCGTTCTGCTCTAATTGCCCAAGAACTGTCATGACTTAACATCGACATTGCTGCTCTCAGTGAAGTTCATCTCCACGAGGAAGGCAGCATTAGAGAACATGGTGCCAGTTACGCACTAC